ATTTTGCAGAAATCATAACTTATTCGTTTCAAATCGAAATCATATGATTCCAAAGCTCAGAGAAAGCCAACATAAAATAGTACGATTCATATACAGCTCACGTTTTCAAATAACGAGTACTTTAGGGTCATTATAGTAGCTCAACAGAACAGCAGAAACGCGATATAAATCATGAATTTGCAATGAACTCTCAATAACAATTCCGTAGTCCTTATGCAACTAGATTACATCGAACCAACACCAAATATCTCATAATAAAACACATAAATGAGGAAAGGTTACAACATATCATGCTTTAACACAAGTTCAACACAATTCATATCAAAACCACCACATAAGCAATTTATTATTAAACCCTAACATGCTAAATCATCAAAGGTATCAACATATATGATAATAATAAAAATACGGATCATGCTACATGTACCCCTTGGTGTACCACTTAGTTTACATCCAAGGGGTACATGTACCCATTTACCCTTAATGAATAATTTAGTAATTTATTCATTAAGGGTAATGGGTACATGTACCCCTTGGATGTAAACCAAGTGGTACACCAAGTGGTACAAGTAGCATTATTCAACACTTTAAAATAGAGGGTTAAAGCATCCATGATACCTTTCTCGAGAAAAAACACACGAAAGGATTGAGAGACGGCTAACACGAGGCTGAACGGGGTCGTTGGCGGGGTCTCGGGCTCCGAGATGGGAGGAGGAGATAGGAGCAGCGGCCCTCTTCCTTTACTGAACGCAATCTTCCTTCTTTTCTTCTTTTTTTTTATTATAGTGAGAGGGAGAGAAGAGAACGAGAAAGAGTGATAAGAGATTTCTCCTATTCCTGATCGATCGAGAGAAAGAGAGCGAGAGATTTTTTCCCTTCTGAATGACAAACGTGAGGGATAGCTGGGGAATTTTTGGTCTGCGCGTGAATAATATGAGGAGAGGAGGGTTTTTAACTTGTATTTATAGAACTAGGTTAAATGACGTGTCAACCAAGTAAAATGAGAGAGGGGTAGCCGGGCGCGGGTTCGGGTCAAGGGCCGGGTTTAAGGTGCACGGGCTTGGGGTCTCTTCTCGGGCTCGACTTAGCAAATAATAATAGCTCGGTTCAATCTTATTAAGATACGACTCGCAATAAATAAATTAAACCGGACATTATATATATATATATATATATATATATATATATATATATATATATATTACACACAATAATTATTTAATAATAAGCAAATAAAACAGTTAAACAATATGGCAATTAATATAAATTAGACAATTAATATCATGAATAATAATAATAATAGCGATAAATAATAATCGAAAAATCCATAAATATATGTAGCATTACAGCGGTTCTCCTCTTGGTTCGACTCTCCAAAAATATTTAATGTTCGGCTCAAATGAGACGATAATTAAATTAAACCTACTAATATATACATTTAGAACACACAATAATCATATATATATATATATACACACACATAATGCACATAATATTTATGTAATAATAATAAGCAAATAAAACAACTAATAACAATTAGACATATAATAGTAATAATAATAATAATAATAATAATAATAATAATAACAATAAAAATAACAATGCAAAAGTAGATAATCCCAAAATTATTCATAAACAAACAGGGCATTTCAGTATTCTCCCAGCTCAACTGCCACCATCCTTCTCGAGGCCGAAGGGCGACCCAGGGTATTTTTAAGTGCGTAATTTGTTCGTACCATAACCTTATGAGCTAGGAAATAGTGTCGTAGTTTGTGTGCCGTGGAAATTAGTGCTAAGGCCTCTTTCTCCACATCAGAGTATCTCCGCTCAGCACCCTGAAATATTCGACTAGTATAATAAATTGGCCTTTGTTGATTATGGTCCTCTTAATAAATACTGAGCTAATGGCCTCGTGACCCACAGACAGGTATACAAACCAACACATCTCTTGGTTTCGGATTTGTAAGTAGAGGGAGCTCGGCCATTAATTCCTTTAACCTTTCTAACGCTTGTTGTGTTGAGATCAGTGAGGATCTCGTTATGTACAAATCACGAATTCAATAGTAAACGTATAACTATGCGCAACGGATCTAAAGGTTTGATGTAGAAAACTTACGACTTAAAATTTTCTAAATCTGAGAGATTTGGGATGACCGGGAGAATCACGTCACGGGGTGGCCGGGATCTCGGCGTCGCGGTGGTGCTGCTGTGGTGCTGGGTGGATCGCGTTGGTCGTCGGGGCTGGGCTCCGCAGTCGCATCATGGAGTCGGGGTCGACAGTCTATCGTCGGGCTCGACTGGCTCGTTGCGGCGGTCGTCTGGCTGTCGTGGCTCGTCGGCACCAATCCGGCGGGTCACGGTGGTCGGCGCCGTGGTTAGCGAATATATATGTCTTGGTTAGTCAGGATCTTCTACTTTATTACTCGAACACCTCTTCAACTTGTATTGGTAGAACAACAAGAAGAAGATAACGCTCGAACAGAAACATAAGAGAGAGAGAGAGAGAGAGAGAGAGAGAGAGAGAGGGTGCATGTATATTGCATGTAGGAGGATTTCAGATCTTTTCTACTCTTTTCCATTAGCTAAATAATGTACATATAGAGCTACAGTAGTGATCCTATGGAGAACATGAATATGACTTCTGAAGTAATTACTAACTGTGGGCCTTGTCCACTCTTCCAGTTACTTAAACAATGGGTTTATTGCACCAAATCCACCTATATTATATGAAATATGCGTGTCTTCCTCTGGTATTTCAAAAATTGTGTGAACCCCCTTGTATTTAATGTCTGAATGCGCCATTCTTAGTTGACGCCGTTAGTTTTATGCTGGCGGTGTTACTCATTATACCTTACTTTATCACTGAATTTACTATTATACCCTTATTGTCATTTATGGTGACTTAAAAATAAAATCCCAATGGTGAGGATTGAAATAACTACCTTTGGGTTATAAAAAGCCACTCTCACCAACTGGGCTACTAGGCGTTTATTAATAAATGTGATTTTATTTACTTATATATCATAACATATAATGAAATAATATAATAATTAAGTATATAGATTCTAAATTATAAATAATATAATAATTAAGGATTTAGATTATAAATAATGTTATAATTAATATTTTTAGTTATAAATAATGTAATAATTAAGTAAATAATTTTAAATTACAAATAATATAATAAATATACAACGAGATTATAATTTATAAACAATATAATAATTCAATATATATATTCTATATATAAATAATATAATGATTAAATAAACATACTCTGAATTATAAATAATATAATGATTGAACAAATAGATTTTGTATTATAAATAGTATAATGATTCATTAAATATATTCTAAATATAAATGATAATGTAATAAAGAAAATAAATTATAAATTATAAATTATGCAATAATCTAGTAAATAGGTTTTATAATAATTTATAAATAGATTCTAAATTATAAATAATATAATAATGGAATAAATTCTACTCTCAAGTATAATGATAATTATAAATAATATAATAATTAACTACATCTATGTATTAAAATTATAAATAATATAATAATTAAGTAAATATATATCCCAAATTATAAATAATAATGATAATTATAAGTATTTAGTAATATAATAATTCAGTATATATAATTTATAATAATTTAGAAAATAGATTCAAAATTAAAAATTATATAATAACTGAATAAATTAGATTTTAAATTATGAATCATGTAATAATTTAGTAATTATATTTTAAACTATATATAATATAGTTTTTATATGATAAATGATATAATAATTAAGTAAAATATATTCAAAATTATAAACAAGAATAAAATTTTTATTTAAGTTTATATTTATTGAGATTTGAAAATAAAAAAAAAATACCCAAAAAATAATTATATTATTTAAATATCATAACAAAAGATATTTGATATTTAATTAATATTTTTTTGAATTATAAAGAACATTTTTTTAATTTTTTTACATTGCTAGAACTTAAAATAAATAAATTGATAAATAATAAGTATTTAAATTACTTATTACAAATTGAAAAATAATTATTTTATTGAAATAAGTAAAATTTATATATTTATCAAGTATGTAAGAAAATATAAAAACTAAATAAGTTAAATAAGAACAAATCATATAATAGCTATTGAAAACAAAATACTTTATTTACAAATTACTACTTTAGTAATATATTATATTTTTTATAATTGTAAAATAGAGACGAGGAAAAAAAAGAAAAAAAAAAATAAACTCCATCTGAACTAAATGAAAAATTTGTTACATGGGATTTCCAAACGTGCGAGTCAGTCACTTAGTCTCAGTACATTCGGGAATTATATATAAGAAGATATGTTGAGTATCAAACGTGCGAGTCAGTCACTTCGTCTCAATACATTCGGAAATTATATATAAGAAGATATGTTGAGTGAACATATATTAAGTTTAAACCTTAATGGTAGTAGGATAACATATTATCGAAACAAAGCTCCTACCATTGAGATTTCTTTT